CAAAATATTTACTTTAAAAATCTGAAAATCCAAAATGCGAGTTTATACGTACTATTAGAATATCTACTAAAATATTTTCTTTGTGCACTTTATAGTTCTTCTTTTGTTTCTTCATAAAAAGTATTATTTAGTTTATTTTAAATACTCAAAAAACTCTACAGACTAATCCCAAACTAGAAATAATCAGAATCATTATGTTGGCCTGATATTTAAAATGGAAATTATATTATTATTCTTAATATAAAAATATTAACTACATAACAAGATATTTAAACCAAAGAAAGAAAGCCTATGAAACACGGGTAGGTGTTAGCAAACCCCACTAGCAGTCTGTCCTTATTTCCCAATCATATGCTTTCCAGTATGTTCTAAAGAGCATCACTGTTAGGAAGAGAGTGTTGAGCTCATGGATCTAATTTCAACTACAATAAGTCATCCCTTTTCATCTAAAGAAAAAACTATGCAAATTAAGATTAAAAAATAGGAAATGACTAAATTACTGAATTCTTACGGAAATACAAATAAGTGAGAGTTTCTTTTGCACAAGGGTAGTATGAACATCATGGAAAATCTGCCTCTTCATGATAAGCTCTGTCCTAATCCTCTCTACCTGCAGGTTTTTTAGATACCACCACTGGAAGTACTTACATTCATAGGGGCACTGGTTTGAATCTGGCCTTTCCAATTAGGATCCAGCTCCCTGCTAATGTGCCTAGGAAAGCAGTGTAAGATGACCCATGTGGGAAGCTGGGAGGAATCTTGTGACTCTTGACTTCAGACCAACTCGTTTACAGCTGTTACAACCATTTGAGTGAACCAGAGGATAGATCTCTCTTTCTGCCTCTGTGCCTCTCCGTCATACTCTTTCAAATAAATAAATAAATATAGATAGGTAAATAGATAGATAAATACAAGTTTTTAAATTTTACTGTGAAAAGTTTCCTTAAATTTACTTCTTTTTTAAAATTATTTTTTTAAAGACTTATTTTATTTTTATTGGAAAGGCAGATATACAGAGAGGAGAGACAGAGAGTAAGATATTCTGTCCGATGATTCCTCCCTAAGTGGCCGCAACAGCTGGAGCTGAGCCAATCCAAAGCCAGGAGCCTCTTCGGGCTTCCCATGCGGGTGCAGGGTCCCAAAGCTTTGGGCTGTCCTCGACTGCTTTCCCAGGCCATAAGCAGGGAGCTGGATGGGAAGTGGGACTGCCAGGATTAGAACCAGTGCCCATATGGGATCCTGGGGGTGCAAGGTGAGGACCTTAACCACTATGCCATCACGCCAAGCCCCTTAAATTTACTTCTATATACTACCAAATATAGTAGAAGGTAACATCCAAGGTACAGTTTTAAAGCTCAGGAAGCTCACAAATGGGTTATAGAATACTGGAATCTATATACATACACATCAAATTCCTACTGTAGAATAACACATTGTATATATATATCACATAATATGGATACATATTACTCTAATGGTATAGACTAAAGAGATACAGAAGATGGAGAGAAATGGTATCTGATCTTTAGTATGGTATATGTGCTTTAGGACTAAATGGAATTCACCCAAACAGGGAGGTGGGGAACTTCATAGATTGCAATAATAAAAGGTCTGAAGAATTAGGAGCAAAAAGAATGCACACAATACAGTTCAGAGTCATAAAATCAGAAAATTAATAAAGGAAGAGAACTAGCATTTCATCTTTTTGGGTACCCTTAACATGCCCTTTGAAGTAAGACATGCATTCATTAACAATGACTGAGAGTTGATTTAGGAAGAAAAGCAAGTGAGAATGGTGTTTAAGCATGTGTAATCTGACTTTATAGTTTTAGACAGTAGATGAAAATAGGGGCAACCGTCAGAAACAGAAATAACAAAGTTCAAACTTGGAAGCCAATTTCTTTCAATAAGACTCATTATACAGAGACTTCAAAATGATGCAATATGAAGATATGTGACTGGCACTCAAGAGAGTTGAGAGGTTGATAAATATCTAGGAGCCATCAGCATATGGATGGCAGAGGGTGTGGAGAAAAAAGGGAAAGGCGCACACACACAGTCTGTCACACATACAGACATAATCCCACATAGGAAGCTATTTAGGAAAGCACAACCCAAAAGTTATCCACACAGGAAGGCCCAACAAATTCTTCCTTAAAGATGATTGTTGCTCCTGAGTTGAGAAACAGTTTGGATAAATGCAGATTATCAAGAGTTACTGAAAAGACAAAAAGAAGGTGGAAATGGCCTCACAAAGCAATAAATGTAGAGAAGCACAAGTTGATAGCTAAGATAGCAATAGGCCCCCAGCCCTAAAGTCTATTTTTAAACTGAGGAGCTTCAAAAATAGACAACACTGTGTAGAGATAAAAGTCGCAGAGGAACAAGCTTGAAGATGAATGGAAGATACTAAGATGACTTCTGTTGGTAACAAAATCCAGAACACAAGGTTTCAATATTACTGTGAAGCACTTTATCCACATAATCTCATTTGACTCTTATGTAACCTCTAAAGTGTTAGGTATTTGTATTATTTTAAATTTCAGAGAAAATAAATTAGAGTGTAGAATGGTTAAATCACAAACTTATAAAGTGGTAGAGCCAGGAAACGAACTGAAGTTAGTCTGAGGCTAAACTGTTGTTGTAAATCTCTCCATAAAACTGAAGAAAGCACATACATGAAGGCCAATTCATAAATACTTACTAACCAATCAAATGAAAAATTTGATAAGACTGTAGACAGGTGGTTTAAAAAAAAAACACCCAAACCAGAAACATTTGAGCAGTTTTTCCTTAGAACTTGACAAACCAATAGTGTACTTCAAACTACCTAATTAACTTACCTTTAGAAAAATTCCAAGTTAAATTCTTCAAGACTATAGCTCATAGAAACAGAGATGGGAAACAACTTTAGAAACTAACTATACAGCAGACAATTTACTTTAACTGCATTAAGAAGACTAAATATGAGACAGGAAAAAGCTAAGCCTTTTGGCTTTGAACATTTGCTTCCTGTGCTTGAGACATGTACCAGTCATTTTATAATTTTATTAGTATGGAGAAAAGAGAGCACAAAAGCCAAGTTTTGATTAAGCAGACACTCACTGACAGGCCGAAATTCCATTTTTTCCATTTCTAATGCATTCATTTTTATCATTTCTTATTAGCATCTCCATTAGACAGTATGGTCAGAAAGAAGCAATGAAATGATTCTGCTATTTATTTATAGCTCTAGTAAATTTCCTTTTGCCAGAGAATCTGAAAGGTACTGAGAGCTGGAGTTATGTAACTTAATCGTTCATGTTATTCCCAATCTGTGTCTCATTATCAATAGGTAAATCAGAGTTAATAAAATCTGCTTATTACCACTTCTGATTGTCCTGTGCTTCAAAAACTAAAAATGATGACCAGATGAAAAGCTTTAATAACTTCCATCTGTCAATTATTCATGTCATGACCATGGAAAATGCACAGGTCCTCTTGCAGTGCAGAACAGAGATGGCTCTATTAATCAAAGCTTTTAGCTACTGCTTTTTCATGCTCCAACATACTTTGTACTTAGAGTACTCTGTGCAGAAAAATTAAACATCTGGGATCCCTTGTGCAAATCAAACATTTTGGACTTCACAAAACTTAGAACGCAGAAGCTTTTAGTGTCTTTCAAGCTAGCTATTTAAATTTGCATCCTCAAAAAATAGAAAAATCAACAGGTAGAGATAAATAAAATACTAATTATCCCAAAAATCTATATATAATAAAATCGTAAACAGCTAAATTTAGGAAGCTATACAAAACATATTAGTAAGTATACCTATTTCTTCAAATTGAGACATTTTTTGTAAATTATTTTACCTTATATTCTTTAGTGTCAGCAATAATGGCATAAAGTCCGTAATTACTTTTGTATATCCTAGGCAGTCTGAAAACTGCATAAAAAGAATGTAATTCAGGTAACCCATTCTCTCTACATCTCCATATCTCACTGCCAAAAAGAAAATTGGTGATGATCTTTTGACTTTTGCATTGCTCAAGTATATACAATAAATGCAGTCCTCGAATCAGAGAATCACTCTCCAAGAATAAGTCTCTGACTAAATAATTCTCCCCGCTCAGTGTCTAACAAAACAAAGCAACAGAGCTAACAATTGTGAGCTTTCATCTACATAAAACCATTAGGACAAGCCCAACATACAAGTCACACATTCAGAAATGCCCATCCATGATCTCCTACTGCATCTGCTCCCAGGAGGCGCTTCTACATCCAGACTCCTATTTGTATTATGCAGCATTCAAGAAACATGACCCAATATCATGGCTACATGCATTAGTTACTGCTCTAAATAAAACACTGTCCAGTTTTCTATGATTTAAATGTAGGAAGCCTCTCCTTTTATCTTTCCCCAAATAGAAACTGACATTTTAGCTTTGCTATTCATAAAATGAAACTACTCAATACAGTATTCAGTGAAAATGAGTAAAATCTTATGTCAAAGTTTAAGATACCTTAGCTACAAGGCTACTCACAAAATGTTATCTAAAATTTTTCTGTATCATCTCCCACTCTACCAGTATTACGAGAAACAGCCTAAGATACTGGGTCTTTTAGCTAACAAAATCTCACTTGCATGAAAAAGCAATTTGGGTTTATATCATGATGATACAATCTTATTCACTTAATTTAATTGGTAAAATATTCACATGGTAAGCCATTCAAAGTTGCCTTTAAAAATATAATATGCAGGTAAATACCACCTAAAATGGTTTCAAAACTGAAAATCTACATAGGAAAATATTGCTTTCTCATCATAGTTACAATTCTTACAGGCCAGAATTCAAAACAAGAACAAACATTTTACAAAAGATAAACACTTATACCATATAAATATTAGGTATTCTCCCTTGACCTAATACCTTATCCATCAAATAATAAGTGCCTCTATACATTTAAAATGAATACCCCTACATCAGAAATGGAATACTGAATTTAATATTTCACCTACCTGCACCTCACTTGTCCTCTGTTTTATAGTATCTTCTTTCTCCTTAAGGTCCTGTTCCACATTATTCTTTTCCCTAGAAGACCAGCAAACAATGCAAGAATATCTGAGAACATCAGCTACAGCTGGTATGGTTATCCATCCTCCTAAATCGTTTTTTAAATACATAGTGAAACATTCAATTTTTAAATGAAGGGCAGATTTTTCTACCCTCTTTCAATAATTTATGACATAAAAATCAATATAAAGGTCTGTTGTAAAAAAATGCTTTCTCACTAAAATGTGGTGAAAAGAGAATAGATTAAAAAAGGAAGAAGAGAAAAATAATCAATGAACCACTCGGGTTTCACTGATCTCACTGTTGCTATAGAAATACTGTCCAATGGAAACTGCTGGTGAAGAAAAGGAGGAGTTGCATCAGCTCTGGAAGCTTAACCCTTAAGCATCACTGACACACTGAAAGAAGACGGCTAATGGAAACAGTCAACAATATTAAGGAAAAAGACCATTAGCAAAATGTTAACTTTCCCTTAAATGACCAATTTTGTGTATCAATTTTAGAATGAAACAGAGAAAACAGAAAAGATTAACACACAAACAGTTTACCTTATCAAATATCACAGCTGGTAAAAATGCTATTTTAGGATCACTTATTACAGCCAACTGATAAAATACATGGAATAATACATCCTACAGTGAAAAGAATCAGTCACATTCATCTCATTTATACTTCAAACTGAAAACACTGGGCTCCACTTCAGCTTTGAAACCATTATCTAAAAAATTTTTAATGTTTTTTTTTTAAATCAGAATTGGGCTCTTATGACTGAATCCCAAGCAACCCTAAATTCATAACTGCAACATAAGGGCATTTCTTTGGATAAAACAAATTTAATTGCCCATTTGTAGTGAAATTTCACAGACCCACTCTGCTCCTTTCATTTTTTCTTTGCAGTGAAACAAAGTAAAAACCCAAATAATTCTGCAGCCATAGATTTTTTGGAGAGGAGGGAATGGTAAAAGAAGGCAATACGATGAAAGGGAAGGGTGTTTAGCATTTAAGAAGTCCTCCAGGCTAGCACAGTTTCTCCTCACAGCTTCATGATGGCATCTCAGCCTCCGACCCTGACAAAATCCAAATGTGAACTCAGGTTCCACACAGCTCCAGCATAAAGCAAAGTGAGAAAATAATACAAGAGGTGATGGCCAAGGGAAAATATCATGCTTCATTTCTTTTCTCACCTTTTTAAGTTGAGATTTTAAATGGAGACAAAATCCAACTGTTTTAGATATGGAGACACAGTGTTTCCAGGATTTGGATGGAAGAGAAAAAGCACACAAATAAATCTATTTTATATAATCTTGCTTTTAAATGATTGAGATGGCAAAGGTGCTCACTGTTTGTCAGATGGGTTGCAATGCGGGTTGTGCAGATTTGAAAGGATCCCTTACCACGCGAGTTTGTGGCAGCCCTGTTCTTTCCATACCTTCATCTGCTTATTATGCCAAGACCCTTCCATACCTTATCAAATTAGCTAAAATCAAGAAAATACCGGGAAAATCATGAGAAAAGTCTAACAAATTCTGCAAGCCCAATGACTGGTAATCTTTCCTTTCCTGTTTGTGAACAGATTAGTGTTCTCAGTCCTGCTGCAGTGTGTCAGAGAGGTCACTTGAATATCTAGTCCCCTCCTCCACCCCCAATCCTGAGAAGCATCCCACACCAGGTCAGTATCAACGCAGCTCTTCCGTGGTGATACTAGCTAACAAGGGCAGAAATACTACACGGTACCATAGATCAGCACTACGCACTTCCATGCGAAACTTTGCTCGGCTGGTAACTGACAGTGTCTGCTCAGGTCAAATGTGTATGCAGTAAGTAGCCAAGACAGAAGAATGAGAGCAAAAGAAGGAAGCTCACTTGGTGAACAAGGGAAACACATTACAAAGGTTTTTCAGCACTAAAGGCAAACACAGTCTGTATCTGCTAAAATGGAGGGAGAGCAATTTTCTTCAGATTTTAGCGTGTTGGGGGGTGTGGAGGCAGGAAGAATGATAGTGAAATCTCTAAAACTCACCCTAAAGACCACCTCCAACTAAGTAAAATAGGGGAATTTTTACACATTAATTTCTCCTATTTCAGAATCAAAGTTACCTTGCAACCTATGTTTATTCAGTAAAATTTTGCAGTCATGATTTTTTTAAATTATCAAAACCAAGTACCATAGTATTGTTAAACAGAAAACTTTAAAAAGATGTTTCCTGGTATGACTTTCTCTGAAGAGCATTACAATTGAAAATCTGTACTACAAACTAGACTGAAAATTGAACAGTTTTCTCGCTCACTTAGGGATAGTTTTAGGGATGCCAAATATGTGTTGTGGTCACCTTGTCCTTAGCTTCCTTAAGCGTCCTTAAAAAACAAACAAATTCCACCAGGCACTGTAGCTCAGCAGCTAAAAGTCCTCACCTTGCACATTCACCCGCCCTCCCAGATCCCATAAAGGCACCGGTTCTAATCTTGGCAGCTCCGCTTCCCATCCAGCTCCCTGCTTGCTGCCTGGGAAAGCAGTCCAGGATGGCCCAAAACTTTGGGACCCTGCACTTGTGTGGGATACCCGGAAGAGGCTCCAGGACCCTGCCTTCGGATTGGCTCAGCTCCAGCCGTTGCGGCCTCTTGGGGAATGAATCAGCGGACAGAAGATCTCCCTCTCTGTCTCTCCTTCTTTCTGTATATCTGACTTTGCAATAAAAACAAAATAAATCTTAAAAAAACACAGGTTAGGTCAAAACCAGACCTAGGAACCTCCTCCAGGTGGCAGGGGGCCAGGTAATTAGATGATCTTGGCTTTCCCTCAAAGGCCACCAGCAGGAAGCCAGATTGGAAGCAGAGTATTCTGGACATTAATCAGTACCCATATGAGATGCTGGCATCACAGACAGTCCCATCTGCCATGTCAGAATGAAGGTCCTAACTATCCTTCTGATTGAAAGCATATGAAATTTAAGTATTGCAACATACATTTAGGTACAATAAGGAATTGTGGCCATTCTTTCAAATCCTCGTGTCATGCAACATTAAGTTTTCTAAAGGTTATAGTTTATAACCAATACAAAGCACTCTGTTTAATATTAGTAATTTAAAAACTTACCTCTGAAGAATCTGGGCCACAATAAAAAGTATTTATATACAAATTCTCAAGGAGTGGCAATATATATCATAGATGTATTATAGACATGTATTATGTATATATGTACATATAATATGTATATGTAATATGAATATACGTGAATAAGAGTAACATAAAATGTATGTCAAAAATCGGTGTGTGATGGGGTGGGAATTTGGGATGCCCACAATGATACAGCACAGTGCCTGGGTTCACATCCTTGCTCCCTGCACTCTCGATTCCAGGTTCCTCATAACACATGCTCAGGGAGGCAGCAGGGGACGGTTCAAGCAGTTAGAAGAGGTCTCTGCCACTCACTGCTTGAATTCTCACGTCACGTGTGCCCAAGAGGTGCTGGATACTTCAGAAGCAAACCAACTGACATGATCACTTTGTCTAGTTTTTTTTTTTTCTGTTTCTCACAGAAAATAACGCAAAAATCATTGTATTATTTGCCCCAATCAACATTCCTTCTGAATGCTATAAGAAAAGCTAATGCCTGCACTTTAACAATTTTCAAAAAAAAAAAAAAAGAAAATACAGTACTGTTCATCTATTTTAGACTATTCCCACTTACCCCCAAGATTCTTATACATCCTGAGAAAACAAACAAACAAAAACCAAACCAGAGCCCCAAAGCTGTGAAAGCAGGCTGGGAAGGCAGATCCCTTGGATTTTAAACTGACTGTTCTGATCCTCTCAAGCACCTGAATCACAGAGGAAAGGAAAGCTCAAGCTAGGCTTTCAGAAGCTAAAGGCAAGTAACTATAAAACCTAATATGAAGAGGACAAAGCTTTTCACAAGGCTAGGCAGGCAAAGGAACCTTGAGTCCATGTGATTCACTCCCATTCCCAGGCTCTGTTTATGGGCAGAAGAGCAAGCCATCTGTCTTAACTTTGACACAATTCCAACACCATCATGGATAACAGGCTTATACTACCTTCAAAATTCTCCAGAGTGTCATAGCTTTTTGTATTCTGAACACAAGCATGTAACCAGGAAAAAAAAAAGAACCAACAATACTTGGAAAAGACAAAACTGCAAAAACTCAAAAAATTGTATTTTTCAATCTTAAGATTTATTTATAAAATTATTTTGGGGCATATTTAACCTTCAAACTATTCCTACTGATAAACAGGTTAAATATCAATCTTTTACAACTTAACAGAGAAACACATGCTATTTTCATTTTATACTCAAGTAAGGTATGTAGGTCTTCTAAAAAGTAAGAAAATAGAACAAAAACTGGAGACATGGATTCTATTGTGAAAGAGCTTTTCTGAATCCATGCAAGTTTTCCATTATATTTACTTCCAAGAATTGTTTAAAGATTACTTATATGCACAGATTTCAAGATGTTTTGCAAAAAGATGTTTTAAATTTCATGTTTCATGAACTTGTTAAAGTCAGCATTACAGAGAGAGGAGAAACAAAGAGATCTTCCATTTGCTGGTTCACTTCCCAGATGGCCAAATAGCCAGGGCTGGTCTAGGCAGAAGCCAGGAGCTTCATTTGGGTCCCCCACATGGTTGGAAAGGGCCCAAACTCTTGGTATCCGGTGCTGCTTGCAGCTACACCACTATACCCTAATGGCAGCCCCTCCAGGAACTTTCTGAAAAACCCTTACAGATACTACCCCTCTGAGCAACGACCGGCCAGGAATTAGTGCATTGCAATGTCCATCCCACAATCACAGCAATTAATTCAATAATAGTATGTGACATGCCATTCAAATGGGAGGAGGAATTGGTCTATGATAAAAAAAAATAGGTCATAAATTTATCTAGGATGCCTTAACTTAAAAGCAATTTAAAAAAGTGCACTAAAATCAGTACCATATCGACTGCTATTACTACTATTCATAAAAGACTACAGAAGTCAGCATTTGCTAAAAGCTTAGTTCAT